TTCCAGATTAGAGATCAACAAGTATGAAATCAACCAACCTTCTCCGCAGAAAATAGCGTCACTATTCCTGGATGCTCCCTGGGTGGGAACAGTACAAGGGTGTAATATCTTTATGTTTCCCTGATTAGAATCAATAATCAATAATATAGATGTTTAGATGCTTTATTCTTTGATTCTTGTTTTCTGTTGGCAGCAAACAATTTTACAATAATCAGTGTACAACAAGCATTAATATCTGATCCTAAAACAGGACACCTACACTGTGCTTGCCGCCCGTATCAAATGTGCTTGTATAAAGTCTGAATTCTGTCTCTGTGTTTAACCTTTACTCTCAAACCCTTAAACAGCACAGACTCTGCATCTGAGAATAAAAACTAAATGCAGTTACTAGAACACGGAACACACATCAAGAACACCTGCTCAATAAATCAACTTAATTTCACTTTGATCTCCGACAAACTGAAGTGATTTCCACGTCTCCTTTATCAGCCTGTAATCTTTAATGTTTAAACTGGTCCAGTTTAAAGTTTCAGCGCTCTAATATGCAGCCACCAACAGCAGCGCTGAGAGCGCGCTTAAGGATAAACTTATTAACTGGAACTAAAATCTGGATTTCATCTTTTCTTCCTTTTTTACAACAGTCTTGCATTTTACTGTTATATTTCTGTTCTGAACAACTTGATAACATTTCTGTTGTACCTGTCATAGGGATCATTCTGGGTGGTAGAAAAGTCACATGATTCATCAAACACCTCCTTGTCAGATGCTGCCAACGCCACTTTGATGTGAACACACAACATTGACCGAAAAAAATAAGAATTGGGAACAAAATGCAAAGTGAATTCTTTTTTGTATGAAAATATCAGAAATGGAGTAAACAATCACTGCACAATGTGACAAATGGTTTTTAACTCTAAACACCTTCAGAATCTGCAATAAAACCTCACCAGATGCAAAGACAGTCAAGCTGTGATGACACTTTAATTTAGGGAAAATGTTGTCAAAGTTTTCGTCGGGCTAGTCTGGCAGCATCAACCTCCTGCACTGCACTCTTCTTCTATATCTGCTGCCTCCTGTTTAACAGCCCTCTGGGTCTAAATGATGTCAAGGTTTCCAGAATAAAGCCTCCTCTGCTTCCACAACATCATTCTTGGGATTTCTACTTCTTTTTTTATGTTTAAAGCTGTCCAGGAGGCAACTGTACACAGCTCCAGACTAGACTATTAAACTACACAATATTAGGAGCACAAATAGATTTTTTTAAACCCCTACTTCTCTCTTTTCTGCACAGCAAACGCATGCTTCCAAAAAGCAATAGAAATACCCTTGTATTGTAACTGATTGCTATGTCCTAGCACAAGTGCTACTGTTGTGACAGAGATTTCTAGCCATCTACAGCTTATCATTAAACAAAAAGTAAAAGAAAAAAGAATTCATTACAAAGCACATTCACTTTTATTCTAAAGACAGAGCTACTCAAGCTAAGATATTTACACAACCAAAGTTTAACACTGTCAATCCTTTCTTTCATCACGGTGTCATCTGTAAATACAGTCTGGACTAGCCTTCACAGTCGCAGTCATTATATTCCCACACATGGCTCAACATCCGTAAAAGATTCAACTGACAGAAAGCAGAAAAAACTACAGATCAATCACTGGTAGTAAAGAAAGCACATACCTAAAGCCAGGGATTTGAGTTAAACAGTCTATTTTTCTATGCAGTGCCAGTTGCTATAATAGAGCACATGATCAGCAATGCAAAAATAAAAGTGCAAAAACACGCATGCATCAGCACCTGTTATCACAGTGCACTGCCCTACACAGAGCCAGAATCAGCCATTGCTATTGGAAAAACAAACATCTGATTTCTTTTGCTACATGACTCGTTGTTCACGCCCCACCTGCGATTACAAAAAATAAATAAATAAATAAAAGAGTCCCTCTCACTCCTGCTGATACTGCTTTGATACAGACCAGGGTAGAAAACTACAAAAAGAGTTGTGACTGTGACTATGACATAATGGTTCAGACATGCAGCTTTTAATTTAAGGCTCCTCTTCCATATGCCTCCTACACTCCGTGAATCCACTTTTACCAGCGCGGACTGGTAGATTCACCACTCCTGCAGAACAATGGTGTCCAATTTTAGAAATTATCAAGCTGTCATTCAAGGTAGATGTGTGGGTTTTGATGAACAGTGACTAGCACTTGTTTAAAGCTACACTGCAAACAGGCCACAGCCAGTGAACCAGTGTGAAACCATGTTTTCTTTGAATACACTTGAAAAGTAAAAGGAAACCACATGGTTTATGAAACAAAATGTAACCAAATATCCCAAAAGGTCAGCACTTCAACCTCAACGTCAGGTCAATTTGACTCTTTTGTGGCAGTCCTCGATGTCGCCAGCAGTTGTCCATCAGACTAGAGATGGGGATAATAGTTACTGCTTTTTCTGCGGGGTGTGAACAGGAGGACCAGTCTAACCACCACTGGCAGCAGGTGGAGAACTGGTTCATGTACCACCATACCCTCCACATTCTGACCACACCAGAACATGCATGTGGATCTTGTTCACCCTAACAGTGCCACAAATATCAGTCAATTCTGCCGTTTCCTTTGCATCAGTGCCTAATACACTGAGTGAGGTACATTTGCAAAAGCACTCCTTAAATCGCTTTTAAACACACTATTTAAACTTCACTTTTCCACATCCAGCGTTAATATTTTTTTTCTTTTAGATCTTTTCCTAAGCTTTATCAAACAGTTTCAGTCATTAAAACTAACTAAAAAGGTTTTGTTGCCTCTGCCCAAATAAAACCAAAATAAATACCAAGTGAAAAACAAAATTCAAAGCACTGAGGACACAAAGAGGTTAACCTAACTATTGTATCAAATACTAAAATCTGTACGACTTCAATAATGTGCCTGTACCGTCATCACAGTGACAAAATGTGAACTGGTCATTCTAACAGTTCATGTCTTCCTGTATACTCTGTAATTTGGTCAATTTAGCACAAACAATTCAGATTTGTTGTTCTAATCTGAAAGCGCCATATTTAACTGTTGAAGTTCAGCATTTTATCACCCACACTGGGATACTGCAGTTGTTTGTGTTAGCTCAACAGTTCTTGATATACCCAGTGCAATGCAAACAATAATGAACTTTGGATGTTCACAAAAGCTGCTATTGAAGCTGCAAAGCAAACTGATGATCCTTGCATTGGGTTAGCTGCTCTCACACACTTGGCACATTGCTGCTCATCTACTACATAGACATACTCTGATGTATCCCTCCTCATCGCTAAATGTTGCTGAGCGAATCAATGTTTCATCATATGTTAATTCTGCTATCATCAAGAACACAACCACACACTATTTGAGTGGCATAAGCTCTGTGTAAATCAATGATCACACGGCCAGAGTAAACCAGAGTGTAACCCGAGGTCTCCACTTATGCACAATTACAATCACACACACGACACACAAACTGCGTTTTCAGTATCCAACTTGAGACAGTAAGTAATTTACACAGAAACCCTGACAATAAATCCTGCAACAGTAGGGTGTCATTTTCATTTCATATTACATTTACTGTTAAGAGCATTACAATCTCTAAGGCCTTAACTTCATATTTTATATCTGTAAAAGGACCTATTACTACAGAATGCAACCGTCTAGTGTAGGACACACGATAACCCGTATGGAACGACAAGGGACCCCTATATCCACACTCTGAGATCTACCTGCGATTTCGCTTGTGAACCCCAATGTCTGAACGTCAAAGTGTGCCACCAATGATTTTCATTCATAGTCCCATTTCCTAGAGCCTCTATCTACTCTTATACTTGCGAAACATACATACTGCGAAATCAGATGAAGCTGGCACCCACCACCATTGTCGCTCCCTAAAATAATAACCCCACCAATGAAGCTTCTACCACACTCCACGGGATTTATGAATGGCAAACCGAGCCCAGCTCTCACTCTTCACTGTGGCAGCTACTTTTCGAGGTCCCGACAGGGAAAACTGTGGCTGTATAGCAAGGAACAATATGATACCCCACTAAAACTGCAGCACCTGTCCGTGACGTTCTATCGTTAGCTGGGCCTGTTAATCAGTGCAGCTAGCTAAGAGACCGTCTTTCCTGAGAACATTTAACACGAACACGGCGCAGTATGCACGTCTAAAAATATTACAGCCTAACAGTTTGGAAATAAGCCATCCCCAATTGCTATACACATAAGCAGCGACTACAAATTGGTTATTGTAAGGGGGACAGCTAGCTTAGCCAAAATAAGCTAATGAATGCAGCTAGCAGGGCTAGCTGTCAAGACCATAAAAAATAAAAGAGTGAACGTCTCCGTTTAACAAACACTCACATGTTACAATCGGCTTGTTTTCCATGGTATAGATGATTGGCTTTTCCTCTTGACCCGCCATATGTGTTAGCGATAGCACTCCATGAAAATGACATACAAACAGTGCTTTATTATTAGTAAGTGCTTATGTATGCAGTTGTGTTGAATCGATGGGGCCTGTGTCCCCACTGCGCTTCCGGGAAGTACGTAAGCCGTGCGTAATTAAAGGGCCAGCAGGCGCTTTTCGCATGGGGGATATAAATGACAGGTTTGTCAGGAAGCCAGCATTTTTCTGTGGTGTGCTGTGCACCAATTTAAAGATGTGCGTGTGTTCTAAAATTATGAGGATGAGGATTGGAAAACTCCGTTGCGGTTTCTGGTCCTCTTCTTTGTTTTTCATTCGGGCGTAGTTTAGAGCAAGGATCTCACCACGCTACACTACAGCTGCACGTTGATAGATGGTGTTAACAGACGCAATTTAGTCATAGGGACAATACATTAAAGGGATGCAAGAAAACGTCTGTAATTGCTGGTTAAATGTTTTATTTAAAATATTGGAATCTGCTGTCAGTAACCAATACATATTAAAAGAATCAAAGTGAACACAACGTTTACAACATGTCATGTATATTGCAAATTAATGAATTAAAAAGAAACAAACAAAGAAACCAAACTAATAAGACTATTTTATTGAAAACTGTATAAATATACTAAAGGGAGAGGGGAGGGGTTAATACATTGATTTTCTTGACGATGACTTAGAAGGGAGGAATGCAATGCTGCCATCTAGGGGAACAAATATCCACTGCAGCGTTTCCTGAAAACGCATATGGGAAAAACACAGTTCACATTTCTTTTCATTTTTTCTTAGTTTTTCGTTCATTTCTTCTACCTTTCAGCTTTCTTTCCCTTATCCTTTTCCTCCTTTTCCCTTCCTCAGATTCTCTCTTTCCACTTTTCGCTTCTTTCCCATTTTCAGGTTCAATCTCAGCTCCATCTCCTTTCCCAGGTCTGTCATCTCCTTGGATCTTCTCTCCATCATCTTCACTTTTATCTCCTTGATTATCTGGGTTTTTTGGCCTACATTTATCTCCCTCTACCACCTTTTCAGCATCTTCCTTTGTACTTTTAGTGCTCTCACCATCTCCCTCTTTGGTGACATCATTACTATCATCTCCAAGTCCCTGTTTTTCCCCCTTCATATATGAGCCTTCTTCTTCCTCCTCCTCTCCCTCTGCCTCCTCTCGCTCCCATTCAGCCTCCCTACCCACACCTTGCCCTCTTCCCAATGTTCTGTCTCTCTCTCCATCATCTTCTGACAGCTGAGTCTCCAGTTCTGAAACTTCCAGCTCCAGCTGCGCCACCCTGGCCTGCATTTTGCGATTGCTCGATTCCAATTCCATCATTAGTCGAGCTAATTTAGTTTGCAGAACCTCCAAGTTGCTCTCTAGTCTTTGTATCTTGGTTTCCACTTTCTCTCCCTCCCCTTCCTCTTTCTCCCCACTCTCCTCCAACATGCCCATTTTAGTGAGGATCTGTCGGCCTTTCTCCTCCAGGTGACGTTTGGCTGCAGGGAACTCCGATAATACATCTGTCAGGTCTTCTTTGGACAAGCTGAAGAGATCAGAGTACCCATTGCTTCGGATGTTGGCAGTCCTGCGGTTGCCTGACTTGTTACCTGTAATAAAAGAGAATAGTATTTCTGTAAAAACCTGACAAACCTAAAAATTTTAAGGATGTTACCAACATTTGTTGGTTTATTCAAGACTTTTAAAACCAGCCAATCATTCTTGTTTTGGTCTTAAATTAATTGAATATACACTATACACTATATACACTATATTGCAATCCATGCAAATCATTGAATTCAGATGTATAATATCAAACACTTAGGCATGCAGAATGCGTCTACAAACATTTGTGAAAGAATTTGTTGCTCTCAGCAGCTCAGTGAATTCCAGCATGGGCCCGTGATAGGATACCACCAGTGCAACAAGTCCAGTTCTGAAATTTCCTCAATGCAATGTAGATGTAGATGCAATGTGGAATGGGGTTCTATGGCCGAGCTGCTGCATCCAAACCATACATCACCAAGCACAGTATAAAGTCTTGGATGCAGTGGGGTAAAACATGCACCACTAGATCCCAGAGCAGTGAAGATGTGTTCTATAAAGTGGCGTATTATGCTTTTCCATCTGTTTTCGGGAATGTTGCCAGGGGAACAGTACTTGTCTGAGTGCACTGTTCCAAGTGTAAAGTTTAGTGGAGTGGGGATTGTGGTGTTGAGTTGTTTTTCAGGAGTTGGACTCAGCCCCTTAGCTCGCGTGAAAGAAACTCTTAATGCTTCAGCATACAAAAATATTTTGCAGCAATTTCATGCTCCCAACTCTGTGGGAATATTTTGGGGATGGGTCCTTCCTGTTCCTACGTGACTGGACACCAGCCCTCAAAGCAAATTCCAATTGATTGCAGTTAAAAAACAGCCACCTGATATACAGGTGGCTGTTTTTTAACTGCCATCAGTGTGTAGTAGTATGTCAAGGAAACAAATAAAGAAAAATAGTAAAAGAAAGTAGTAATAATCATCCATAATATTTTGAATGTGAAAAAAAGAAAAATCCAACTGACAGCTTCAACTAAACCAATAGAGTAGGAATTATAGAGGCTCCCAAAAATACCTTTGGACTTACCAAAAAAGTTTAAACTGTAAATAAAAAACTGAATATAATAATTTGTAAATCTTATAAACCAATATTCTATTAACAATAGCGTTTCAAAATAATGTTAGCATAAAATTGTGGACCCTTTGAAAATCTTATCATCTATATCTGGTCTCCTCAGTTCCTAGATGTTTATAGACTGTTGTTAACAGAAGAGGGATGTTACAGAGAGTCAAACACGGCCCTGTCCCAACTTTATAGATGTATTGCTGCTATCACATTCAAAATGAGCTAAAGTCTTTCTTAAAATGTTGCATTTTCTCAGGTTAAACAGGATACATTCTCTATATTCTATTCAATATGCAATATGGGGTTGTGAGATTTACATTAAATTTTACACCATGTCCCAACTTTTTTGAACCTGTGGTTGTATGTATGTTATGGTGTTGTGGACATTTCTAGAGATTTTTTGCAAATCTGTAAAAACTGTAATTCAGCACAACCACTTGAAAGTAAACTTGTTTGCTTTCTTCATACACCAACATTCCCGATTCCAATTATACACTTTTAGATGCCTTCAGAAGCAATTTTCTTTCATCTGAGTCATCTTCTTGTGAAAACTGTGAACAGAATTATAGGCTCCACCTTGAATTTCAGCTGTACTACAATTAAAAAACTCTTAGTATAATTTGTATTTTAGTCGTAATTCTTCACTTTAAATGTGCAGAAATCACGTTCCCTCCTTTTATAGAGAATACTTGTCTATTTCAAGCATCTCTAATAGTCTGGAAGAATACTTTTACCATTGTTGAGACTCTCGGTTTTATTTTTTAGACAACTGAAGAAAAAGAGCTGGCCTGCTTCTTGTCCATGTGTCTCTTCACCAGCTAAACAAATTCACTTGTAAGAGCATGCCCAAATCACTTAACATACCTTTGATGTTAAGGATACTAATTTCCCCAAAGAAATTCCCATCACTCAGCACAGCAAATTCTGTAACCCCATCATCTGCCACAACTGCCAATTTTCCTTCTTTGATGATGTACATTTCATGGCCCACATCTCCTTTCCTGCAGACGTACTCTCCTGGACTGAACACCTACAAGATGAAAAGATAAAGAGCAGGTGACACTTCATCAGCCTCAAAGGATTGTTATATTCCAAAAGCACTGTCAAGGTAAACCAACAACAGTGTTAAATTTGGATCTGCAAGATAACAGTAAGCTACTGAACCACATTCCACAGAGAGCAGGTGCCATTCACTTTAGTTGTGTGCTCTATAAACAAATTAGTGACTATAAGTCACAAACACAGCTTTGCCAGCTTTCTGACCTGAGGAGTTAGTTTGAGAACCAGCTCCTCCAGCAGACTTCTGTCGCAGTTCTGGAAGATGGTGACTTTGGAGAGTGTGCGAAGATGAACGCTGACCGTGATCTCTGTCCTCATATGCAGAGGCAGCTGCTGCAGGATTTCATTTTCTCGCATGATCTTCTTGTTGATGTAAAGATGCTGGTACCAGTTGTTGATACGCTCTCGAAGCTCCTTGCTGATGTGATGACTACGCAGGTATGCCTTTACCTGAAAGAAGGAAAGAAAAACTTGATTTTCTATAAATGTTAGCTAAAGAAAGCTATCACACAATCTTCATTATTAAAAGTCTTTTCAATAAGCTTGGCTCTTCCATCAGCTTACCAGCTCATGGTTAGGGAAGAAGACATTATCGCGATCTCTTAGGCTTGTGATGACATTGCCGATATTGCCAACAATTGACGCAAACACCAACACAGCAATGAGCAAGTCTGCGATCATAAACAAGAACTCCTCTTCCCTTTCTGGCTGGGGGACGTCTCCCACTGTGGTTAAAATCTGAGCGGAAAACCAGAAACAGTAAAAGTACTGACGTCGCATGGAGCCAAACTCTGTGTTGGTGATATTAGGGTAAACCCAAGGATCACTTCCAAAGCCGAGGCTGCTGGACAGCGCAAAGTACAGACAGGTATTCCAGTGGATAAGCACAAAGATGTAGATCATGAGCTTGGCAATGCGGAAGGTGTTGGGGTAGGAGGTTCTTGTCTCCATGCGGTCCAAGGCCTCGTTGAGTCGTGGGATACGCAAAAGGCGGTTGATTCTGACCAGAGGAGTTTGGATGCCGAATGCAAAATACAGGAAGTCGAAAGGAAGAATGGAAGCCAGGTCCCAGAGGAAATGTTTAGAGCGCAGGTAGCGCTTCCTCAACTGAATCAGGTCTTTGACCAGGATGCCCTGATCCAAGTAACCTGAAGAGGCAAAAACAGTGTTTAATGAAGCCCAGAATACTCATCATACAGTGATGTAATTTATCAATACACAGGTTGGCTCTAACTGTTAGAAAGCATCCAAATGACTTTTCCTCATTATAGCTATAGCCATAGCTACAGCGGCCACATGAATAGAAGCAGCTAGGGAAAAAAGACTGTCATATTTAATATGATAAAGGGTTATGTAAAACTTGCACGTGACAAAAGTAAGTTGGAATTTGAACTCCCACTGTAAACCGACAGAATTACCAGTGTGAAGAGTGATGATCATATCAATCATATACATGAGGTCTGACACATAGTCCAGAGTAAGCCACACAGGGAGGTAGCTCAGTGCTATCATAGTGAAACAAGTCCTGAAAAACACAAGCATTGCTTCAGAAAATGTCCTATCACGCACTGTTGTTATATGCTTAGGAATGATTACCATTTGCAAACATACCACACTGCACTACTTTACCTCAAAATGATGATTACCCAGTTGTAAACGATGGGTAGTGTCATGACCTGAATCCAGACATAATAAAACTGCTCAGCTGGATCAACAATGAACTCGTTCCAGCTGAGAAATGTTGAAGAAGGGAAAGAAGAGAAGAACAGAGTCACATAAATATTATGATTCGAGACTTGTCATAGTCAAATTATTAACCAAAGCATTGCTTGTGACAGGAAAATGTATTAGGATTTTTCACTGTGAAATATTTGCCAAAACAGGAGCCCAAACAAAACAATGAAAGACTCTTGTCATGAATAAATGATATTATATCTGATCTAATTTGTGTTAATTATCTCAAACAGGTCAAATGTTTTAAATCTTAATAATTAGAAACATGTTGTCATTCTACAAGCTGCCTAATTGAATAACAGCCTTGTTGTTGTTGTATCACAGCTGCACTTTTCTTTTTCCAAAAAGATTCAGCTTAATCAATAATACTTACTTAAATTTCAAAATTCTGCCCAGGAAAGTGTTATGGTTTCCCTTATCCTTGACACCATCGTGTCCTTCCCCACTGGCTTTCTGCCCCTGTTGCCGCCTAAACAGCCTCTGCCAACGGTTCCCTCTGATACTAACATCACCTGTTATATCCATTTTCCAAACATCGGTCTTAAATGAACGTATTTTTTAGGCAAGTACTGCTCATGATGAAGAGGAACACACAGGCACCACTGTAGAGTCCACCTAACAACAACCCAGGTCTACCTGATCACTGCCTGGTGATGCTGGTCTCTATGGAGGGAAACCATAACAGATGTCATGTGTCTTCTGGGAATTCTTAACTCTCTCGGAAAACAAGGGCAGGCTATCTCTTTAAAATTCAGACACAGCAAACACTGACAGGATTATAGAGCCCAAACTACAGAGAGGATGTCACTGTGTGTCTATAAATTAATAGGGTATGGATTTTTTTTTAATATACCTTAAATTTGACTTGATTATTGAGATTGTTTAATTTTTGTCATCTTCTTGTAATATTGTAAAGTCTTTAGCCTACAATATAGTTGGTGTAAAATAAATTTTGAAATACTCAACTTAAAATGTTGACATAATAATACAAAATTAACACTTATAAATGGCTTTTCTTTTTCCCCAGTGGTAAAAACTTCCATACATTTCTGGATTCGCTATGTGGATTTGCTTTCCATGTTTCCATGTTTAAGCTACGCTGTTTTATTTGACTGCTGCGGGTCTTTACGTTTAGATAAGCTCTCCTTATTTGCCTGTGCTTAGTTTATTTGCATGGCTTTTCTGAAGGTGGAGTAACTGGAGCTTTCAGGTCCACTGATAAAAAACAATTATCCGACTAAGAGGTGAGGACTGCAAACTAACTCCAAAGTCAGACATGGTGCCAAGCAATTTTTCACAAGTTTCAGCTTTGTGCATTGTGTTTAGCACGCAGTGTATATAATCTGGGCACTTTAAAGCCCTCATACAGCTGTGCGAAGCAGCGTCGCTGTGAGTCAGAGAAGACGTGTGGGCGGAGTTAAAGTAAGATGGCTGCGGGAAAGCGAAGAGTGTTTGAGAAACCATCAAATGGGATGTTTATCTGTTGCTAACAGGATGCACAGCAGCCTCAGTGAAGGAGTGGTTGATTTCTTAGCGTCCCTGACTCACTGTGGTCTGTCTTGCCGGTTGTCTTTTGGTCGCCTCCTATCTTGTAATCGCTTACTGCTCTGACATTGTGGAATTCATCAGCAGCTAGTCGCTAGCAGCATACCAGCGCTAACTTACTAGCAACCAGCTAGCAGGTAGCTGCCCAAGGAAAACACCACCTCGCAACAACTGTTGAGACTCACACAAGGTAGGGAGATTCTCGATGACCTCATAGTGAAGTTCAACAGCATGACAACTAGATAAATTAACTATATGCGTTGCTGGCATTTCTAAGGTAGCTGATTATATTTGCAGTGTCAATTAGCTTGGTCCTCCGTCTTGCATTTGAAATACATTGTTGTTTTCTGTCGAACCACAGCGTAAGGAGCCTCGCTTGGCTGAAGTGAGATGTAGTGCAGAAAAGCTCAAGTGCTGCTAAGTCATGACAAACCAACCGGTTTAGGGGAAAGGGCGTAGTATTTGCTGTGTGCACTGTATGTGCTCTAGCAGTCTGTCAGATTGAACGGGACACATGACCCCCAAATACTGCAGTGATTGATGATTTATGTTGTGATCTTACCTGTGAACTTTGAATTAGATCTGTGGACTGGGTTGGACTTTGGAATTATAACTACACAACTCTAATCTGTCACTTCTGTGCCCAGAATAACTAGTAGATCCCCCCCATCTCGAATAAGCCACATATATGCATATCACATCAACAGATTAAATCATGGTTGAATAGAAAAGCCTTGTTCATTAATCGCTTAAATTTGTCTGTTTGAGAACGTACACTCTTGCTTATCTTTATTCACTGGGTTTAGATAATAATTTCACCATCTTAACAGAAAGTTAACGTGTAACTATTTTCAGACACATCTTTCAGCCTTACAAGAGTAAGAATAAAATTGCGGTTTTCAGATGAAGAGAAGAGCATCTGTAACGACTTCAGTTTTTAGCATTTTGGGTCATTTTCAAGAAAAATGTACCAGATTCTGCTCAATTCAGCTTCCTAGATGTGAACATTTACCGGTGCTATGGCTTCAGTGTTGGATGATTATTTAAATTTGATCTAGAGAGGAGTCAATATAAGTGTGCCACATTGGGGCAGGAAATATGTGATTAAAAAACCAGATGAATCGGTATTAGAAAATAAGCACACGTTCCTCCAGGTGTCTTATTAGTTCACGTCTGCACTGTTAGAATAGCTTTGGATTATGCAAAGGAAAATCACATTCATATATTATTTTCTTATACAGAAAAAATGATGGTGGTTGCAGACTGAAAGTATTCTTTTGTTTCTACAGCCTGATTCATGTATTGCTTTAATAATATTTGCCTGTCACAGTTAAAGATAAAGGATATATGTTTTTCTGATATGCATTGATGCAGTAGGCAGTGGCAGAGGCACGAGTGTGCATCATAGCTGAGCCGCTGATGAGGAAGAGTCAAGCAGTGGTTTAATTGTAAGTTGTTAACTAGTTAGTAAACTGCAGGGAAAGTTGATAAACAATCACTAATCATTTTCTTTTTTGTTCAATAAAACCCTGTTCCAGATGTCATGTCACTCAAGTTTATTACAACCTTATGCAAGTCAATCATCACAGCTACTACAACATAACCTCAGTGTTTGTTTTAAAGATTCAAGATGAGTGTTTCTGCCATTGCCACCTTGGTTGCAAAAAGACAAAAAAAACCAAAAAACCCAGATGATGAGGAAAGGCTGGTCTGACTGTGAAATTGTGTGGCTAACAACTTGTCAGTCACAAGTCATTAGCTAATGAGTGTGCAGTTTTGTGGCATGTACAGGCCTCCCTCTTTGAAATACGGTATGACCAAGACTTTACCCTAAATGTGTACCTGACCCCATAAACTCATCAGCAAAGTGTTTACAGAGATTGAGACCGAAAGCCGTTTCGTGTAGTCTTTTACGGGACTGGAAGTCTTTTGTTCAACCACAGCTATCGCCATCTGGTGGCCTTCAGATAGAATTCATTTTTAAGGCCTCCCATATTGGCTTAATTTTGGCTACATGGAAGCTACATCCATCTTTTATATTGTTTATGACTCTTTGACATCCTTCCTCTTCTTCTTCAACATGTAAGGATAGAGAAAAACACTTGTAGGTGTATGCCACCCTTTTCAGTTCCAGATGAATTGCTGTCTTGGCACATACACCACCTACAGAACCACTGGTACTTAAGCCAACAAAAAGCACTGTTGTGTAGCCGCTGACATCCTTAAGTCCTCATGTCTTGTCTATGGTTGCTCACTACTTGAGTCACAGATGTTATCAGTAACTATCATCAGTCCTCGTGGATATGAGTGGACGTGGAGAATTTCTGGTTAAGGCAGGAGTGGCTCTAAGTTTTTCACATAAATACTTTTAGTTAGTATAAAATAGGTCTTGACCTTTAGACTTTGCATTATGAGACTGTAGCAGTCAAGACTGCTTTGGTGTTCTTCATGACTAAGCTTTAGCAAATACTTCTCTTTATGAAGGCAGCCTCCCTCCAGTGGAATGTCTAGTTGAACTTTGAAACATTTTATGATTCAGTGTGACCTGAAATAAAACTAAAGCTGAATGGCCATATACTGTATTTTCTACTTCCTGCACATCGGGGTCAGAAAGTTTTGAAATGCTGGTGCACAGTAGCTGCATCAGCAGTTACCTTAAACTTCATTTAGGGTAAGATAATCATCTTATTTTTATCCTCGTTATGAATTTATGCATTTGAAGCAGTTTTCAAGCAGTGTCATTAAGTTTGAATCAGATGTTAAGGAACAGTGAGTCATTAAAAAGTGTGGACTATAGTAACCCATCTTTTCCATTGTTGTTTGTGTGTAAATACTCTCTATCAGGGGAGTGAAGGAAAAAAAAAAAAGGGAAGCATTTGAGCCTTATTGATTTAGGGAAGTTGAGCATGACGTTGGTAGACCTCTTGCGTGTGATCCAAGTCCAGTTCATGTGATGTTGTTCCACATCATGTGGCCACAATAACAAAGGTTTGAAATCTACTTTAACATTTATGTATCTCAGTTAAAGTGAACTTACTAACTTATCAAGCCTAAGGGATGTTATCCATAGGAAATACATACAATACTGTGCAAACGTCTTGAGCCAGGATTCATTTCTTTACATTTTGCTTCCAAGGAGTCAGAATTTCTTAAGATCTTTTGAAGTCTTTCTTTGGACTTTGGCTGCTTTTTCACCTTTTTTCAGTCCAGACCATTCAAGGATTAAACAAAGCACTTAACTCAAAGGATAAACTAGTGTTACACATCAAAAACAATGGGGGGGGGATAAAATTGTGTCTTTAGTAGAGATGGACAGATCCGATATTACGTATCTGCATCGGTCCGATACTGATTTAAATTACTGGATCGGATATTGGAGAGAAATAAAAAATGTAATTCGATCCGAAGTATCACACAATCATCTCACAAAACGCGCTACTTGGCGTAACCCAGCTCGGCGCATCGGAGCAGTATGTGTCACATGATAGAGCGGCTGTTGTCTGCGAGACCTGTTGGCGGTCTGTTGGAGCATTTGGAGCCTCGCTACATGCTTCCTAACCGCAGAATTTCATCTTGGCAAAAACTATCCCAGAGAAGTAAAGCAAGTGTGTAAGTTCATCCCTGAATGTTTGCAGAGTATTTCCACGTTAAGCTTAACAACTAATATATTGAGCCACAGCTGGACTGGCCATCGGAGTTCCATATTGAGGTGAAAAGGAAGCGATTTGTCCCGTACTCCAGCTAGAATAAAAAAATAGACACAAAGCTGGAGTTATTCTGTCGTTGCTGCGCAGTTGCATCTACTTCTCTCATTCACTCCCCCTTCCTCTCCTGTTATTAGTTCAAACATGAAACTGATCAATGATCAGCTGATCGGCTTTTCTGCCACAAGTCCCGCCTTTCTTGTTTGTTTATCGCCCACTTTGCGCTAGAAAGAGGAGACCAGCGGATAAACAACAGCAGCACGTTTAAGCGTGATAAGCTGTTGTTAAAATTTATTTAATATTAATTTCTAGTATCAACTGAGGTTTGCTGGAGCCATGGCTGTAAATGCTGTTGGTCATGATATGGTTTGGATATGTGGTGAGAGGGAAACATCAAGATGAAACCAGGAGATGTCCTTACTGAATCATCAGAGCTGAACAGGTGATGGAGAAACAGGTTTACCTTTTAGGTGACATGAATGAGTTGAAGGGAAGTTATGAACTGTTTCTGAGAGACAAATAACACCAGGATCCTTTTCTAAGTAGCTGACAGCTGGTAACTGTGCAGGGGCGGGTCTAGCAAAGTTTTGTCGGTGGCCAGGTAGGGCATTAACAGGGAGAGGGGGGCACAAAGAAATACTTTTCTTTGTTATGTCATTTAAAAACTTTGATTAAATAATTATCTGAATCTTGCAACAAAAGTGGTCATCCGATTAAATGTATAGAAATCCATTATTGTATATAGTAACTAATAAGTCTAATATACACCCTAATAAGCTATAGTACTTTTTCCTTTGGGAAGGTACTATCTGTGCAGTCTGCAATTCTGTTGAAGAAAGATGTTGAATCTATTTAATTATTGTAGAAAAATAATTGATTTCTGTGCATTTGTTTTACACTTGCATTAAATTAAAGTTGATTACATCGATTAAGGGCGATGACACCACGGTGATTGGCCTCATACCTCATAGCTGAGCCGCTATGAGGTATGTGGTTCCACCACAAGGGAACCACCCCCCGCCCTAATATTTTTGCTGGGAGTTGGCAACCCTATTAGTTAGGTTGCTTAATATTTCTACTAAGTACTCTTTAAAATACCAGAATAGGGAGGATGGTGTAGGTTTAAATTTATTAGACCGATCAGTGTTGCTGAACTTTAAAATGTTTTGGGTGGAGTGTATTTTTTGCATACAGGTATAACAGAATAGCTTCGGTCGCTTGTTTTTTTTTTTAAAACTTAGGTATGAACTTATACAAAATGCAGCAAGATATTTATAAAAAAAACAGTTTTATTGATTACAAAATACGCTTTACCGGATTCATATCGGTATCGGCAGATATCCAAATTTCTGATATCGGTATCGGACATTAAAAAGTGGTATCGTGCCATCTCTAGTCTTTAGGCACTTGATTACTAGCAGCTTGTCACATAAACACATAATCTGTTCCCATTTCTTTATTTCTTTGAATCTATGAAAAGTGCCAATGATAACACAGTTCAACAGGTATAGCATGTTTTGAACCAACAAGGAGATTTCAGAAGAGCTATTGGTTGAAAACTTAGCGTATGTCGGCTTGGTAAATGTGTCAAATGCACTGGACATCTGGAGGAACAGCTTAACTATCTGCAGAAAATGAACAGTAATTCATTAAAAATGGTGGTGGAGGGGGTGGGGGCATCCAAAGACCTAAAACAGGACCTGAGCGATGCATCTGGCACTTCAGTTGATACGTCTACTGTTTGCTGAAGCCTCATCAGAAATGGTCTCAGTGGAAGGGTGGCTGTCAAGAAGTTATTCCTAAGGAAGGGAAAGGGGGAGAGAACACTAAGGTATATCAATTACACAAGAACTGGACTGAAAATGCATGGCAACAGCGATGAATCCAAATTTGGAGGTTTTGGTCAAATTGTTGTTAGGGGTGCTCAATGTAGTCTCAATATTAGGGCTGCACGATATTAGGAAAACCTGCGATGTGCGATAACTGTGATCAATATTGCCATAACGATATGACTTGCAATAAAATAAATAGCAAAAAAAAAACAAAAAACAAATACATAATTTCCGTTTTACTGCACAGTTTTATTTAATGAAAGCTGCTGTATTAGCAGTGTAACAACAAAGTGCAGTCAAACATTGAAACATTGCCCCCATAAAAAAATTTCTGAGGCTTGAATTCTGAAAGACATCCTTCCCGGTCTCTATAATTAGTTTTAAATAAACATAACTTAAATTATACTGCAAATTATCTCTATGCAGTTGTTCATCATTTTACCACTCACCAAGTAGTTATGATGCAAGTCAAAACTGGAGTGGAAACTTTACTAGATTAAACTATAGGTAAGAACTTGTCTGCTGTGGGAACACACCAAAGAACAATTGTCTACCTTTGTGGTCGTACTGGCCAAGACTAATATTATCAACAATTAAGAACAATGTAGGTAGTGTATTTTTGTAATTTTTTGAAAAAAAAAAAGGTTTCTCTATCTTGCATTCATCCTTCCTGAGTGAATGTTTTTTATGGCAAGTTCTTGTTAAGGAAAACCAACATGTTTACTCTCCAAGGTTTTAAACATGTGCGCTGACATGTTACTATGTTTCCTGATGTACTAAAAAGTCTCTCTGAAGGTGAGCTACTTGCAGGTATGCAGAGATACTTCCTTGCAAGCTTGCTTAGCTGTGGGAATGTCATTTTGTGGAGTTTCCACCATGCCAAGGGGTCTTCCTCACTGTCTATGGCCGTGGATAGCAAGTAGCTGTTAAGCTCAGCTTCAACAGCTTGTGAGAGATGCATAAAAGAGGAGGTAGGGATTGGAGCTGCCTTGAAGAAACTGCCCAGGGACTTTTTTGCCTTCTTCAGGGGACGACTGGGTGGATCATCTGTCTGGGCCTCTGGTTCAGCGGAGCTTCTCTCCTGGAACAGAAAGCAGATTATAAGAAAAGTAAACATTTTGGACTAAATATGAATTGAAAGGTTTTATATATAAGCATGCATGAATACCTTCTGTGCCACTGCTTCCATTTCTGACATCACTCTGGTCTTGATGTCTGAGACTCGATCAGTGCTGGTGTAGCTGACTTTAAATCTGGGATCCATGAAGCACGCCATGTCCATAAGTTCCTGGGTAGCTGGATTTTCATATTTAGTAATCAGGTACTCGAGGATTTTCTTCTTAATTGATTTTGTCAAATCACTGTCTTCTTCCTTCTCTGCAAGCACCGACGTCTTCATCAGATGAAGGACTGGTTTTACATATGAAACACTAACGTAGCTCTCACCAGACAGGGCATCTGTAAAGTCTTGCAGGGGGTGTAATGCCTGGTTGACAGACTCCAGTACCTCAAGATCCTGCCAAGTAGGAATCAAGTGTCTTGATTTCTTGTCTGCTGAGATGACATCAGAAATGGCCCGCTGCTGCTCCAGGACTCTCTCAATCATCTTCTGCCTGGAACCCCACCTGGTTGGGCATTCTGTGATCAGTGTGTGCTCTGGGAGGTTGAGCTTCTGCTGTGCTTTTTTCAGAGCCATCTTTGCTTTCCAGCTGTGGCAAAAATGTCCAACTAACTTTTTGCAAAGTCCAATGGCTCGGGCAATGCGGGCATCATCTTTGATAGAATTTTCTGGAGAAATAAGAGGAAACAAAAAAACTGTCATGTTTAAAACCTTTTTTTTAAAAAAAAAAAACTAATTGAAATTTATAACTAAAGTTGTCTAAAAAGGTAACATTATCCTTATCAATATCAATTTGATAATAATGTATAGCACATTTTCATTGCTAAAAAGATCTGCCTTGAATAAAACTTACCGATTGCAAGGTGCAGCCTGTGTCCAAAACACTGAAGTCTGACCCAGTTGTTTAGCTCCGTGGCTCTCACAACATTGGCACCGTTGTCTGTGGTGATGCACACTTGTCGATCTTCTTTAAGATCCCAGCTGGCTAACACCTCACGTAATACATGGGCTATATTTTCACTAGTGTGGGAGTCTGGAAAATACACAGTCTCTAGACACCGTGTTTTCAGTTCAAAGTCTTCGGTGAGGAAGTGCACTGTGAAACTCATATATGGTTCCGTTGTACGACTTGACCATAGGTCTGTAGTGCTTGCGTAGTTTTCAGCTTGGCTCAGTTCAAACATGACGGTCTTGCGGCATGTTTCATACATTTGTGGAATGGCGACATGTGAAAAGTAGTTTCGTGAGGGGATGCGGTATCTCTGGTCCACTTTATGTATCAGACTGGTGAAGCCCTCTCTGCTAACTGTATTTATAGGCATCATGTCTTTAGCCAAAAAATGTGTAATGGCCTCTGTTATTTCTTTGTACCGCTTCGACGTTTTCTCATAAGGAATTCCACTTGAAAAACTCTGATACAGAGACGGCTGTTGGACTGCTGCGCTCTTTGTCTTAACATTAGCAACCTTTGTTTGGCTAGCCCTATCTTTCTGGAACTCTTCAAACAGTTCTCTGTGGTTGTATTGAAGATGATGGTGGAGATTAGTCGTGTTTCCTCTGGTGGTTGCCACGAGTGTTCGGCAAGTTTTGCAGAGTACCTGTGTTTGGAGAACGTCGTCTTTATCAAATCCAAAGTACCTCCAAATAAGTGAGGTACTATTTTTTTTTTAGCCACGAGTTCAGTAGCATTCTCGTCACGCGTCTCGCTCTCAGCCATTACAACTCTGACTCGTTGCTGCAGCGTTGTTCGCGCCCGACCTGCGTAGGAGGCGGGCCTCTAATCCATTTGATTGGTTAATGCCGTGAAGGGCTCTATTCGACTGGTCAAATGTGTAAATGGATTTCTTTGATTGGTAAATTCTTTACAGCACGTGTGTAAACATTTTAAGGTACCCAATTATCGCAGTTTACGCCGTCTTTTGCGATGGGCCCATCGCGCAGGCTGATATCGCGATGACAATAAATTTTCGATTTATCGTGCAGCCCTACTCAATATTATATAACAATTTTTCAAGGAAATTTGCAACAGCGATATTTTTGCTCACATATATAATAAAAACAAAACAAAAACCAGAAAATTTTTAATGGTGATTGCAGTTGCTAGGATGCTGACATTTGGGAGTCCTTATATTGATACTATCATAAGCATAAATATTAGCATGAATCCGTAGTAATGGTCTACAGACATCTGTAAAACACTGTGGAGGCTCTGGCATGGTTTGGGACTGTGTGTGATTGGCAATGACTTGTTTTTCAGCATGACAGTGATCCCGAACACAATGCTAATGCAGTAAAAGCATACCTGGATAGAAAAACGCACAATGGAAAACTATCAGTCATGGACTGACCCCTCCAGAGTCCCTCAACATCTCTCAAGCAATGTGGGATCATCTTGACAGAGATCTAATTAAAAGGCACTCAAAGAAAAGCTTGAATGCACTTCTAGAAGCCTGGAAGACTATTGCTGAAGATAACTTGAAGAAATCATGCAAGAGTTGCCCAGGAGGGTTCAGGCTATGTTGACGAATAAAGGTTGTAATGCCAAACACTATCTTTCAAGCTTCTTACAATTCTGTAAACTCTTTTTGCTTTATATATTGTATTATCCATGTATGTTTAGATCTTTCAATAAATCATTTTCTAAGCCACATGGAAAGAAATGAGGGGTGGGTCAAGTCATTTGCACAGCGCTGTATATGCAAGAGTCAATAGGGTTGATATTTACACTTAAGTCTAAGAGCCAAAAGTTCTGCACTGTAGGTTTGCACAACAGTAAAAGAACAAACATCCCCCTCCCCCCTCCTTTCCAGCAGCAAAATCCATCATTAACCATCTGTTCAGTTATTTCTCACTAATCCTTACAATAACTCACTAAGTGCACTACTTCCTGGCCGATATTTTTGGAGCTATTAAATTCTGATGGTGCTGAAGGAAAATATCAAATATCCCACTTACTGGCGGAGTGCATTTTATACCATTCAACCTCTTGTTCTTAACCAGTTGAGGAATACAGCACAACCCGATTACTTGCATGCACGCAAAAGCACAGAAAGGGTTTCTGTCTTTGGATGACTTAAGACAGCAGAATGACATTTAGATTAAGGATATTGATAAGGGATTTAACAAATTAAGCAGAATTGCTACCACAGAGAAAAGAAAATGGCGTGACGAATCATGCTTCTCCATCTGGCAATCTAGTGGATGAGTGAGTTTGGTGGTTGCCAGGAAAACGGTACCGTATTTTTCAGACCATAAGGTGCACCACATTATAAGGTGCACCGTCGATGAATGGGTCTGTTTTCATACATAAGGTGCACCGGATTATAAGGTGCATTAAGCGAAACAAAACAGATAAGTCAAACTTTACTCAACTCATTCGTCTTCCTTCCTCCACTTCCGTACTATTGATTCATTAGTGTTGAATTCTCTTTCAGCTGCTCTATTCCCATGTTGTTGCAGTATATGAATGACTAACCTTGTGAATTATCTCAGTTGTTCTCCTGACTGAGGTTTGGTCTGTTTACAGCATCCTGCCATGTGATTGCATTTGTCCCTAACCATCGGGAACCCTCACGTTAACTTTTATCAAGCGGAAAAAAGTTAGCGTTCATCCTCCAGCTTCACTGTGCTAATGTCATGCTAACATCAGAGCTCGCAAAATCGCTAGCCTGACGTCCCGGGGCTAACGATTTTTCCAGTCGGGCTACCAAAATCTATCTCTGCCCTGCCCGTCGGGCTATCGTAGGGAGGAAAAATATATGTCAATGCTTTTGCATTCTTTCAGAAATGTAGCTGGGGAATTATGTCATTGACATCGGTGAGCCACTGTCAATATGTGACATATTGAAATTGCATTTGAATTTGTGCTTGCTTTTTGCTTTCACTTTGCAATCGCGCGAACTGTGTATAGAGAGCGACAGCACTGATTGGTGAGTGACGATAATTTCCGCACATCATCTTATCAATCGTTAGCTTACTATGCAAACATGACAAGTGAAATCTCCCGCAGCTTAAACATGTGAGAGGTTGATCGCGCAGAGAATCGCTGAGCGTTATGTGAGTGCGTGTGTAAAAGCAGCAGGATTTATATTTCAGTTCTGCTGAGCCAAATAAAACAGGTCAGGGTGAAGAAGTGACAGCCAAAGAAAAGCTTACCACAAAACGGAAAAGCTATGACAAATCAGACTATAAGGCAAAAAGAAAGTGCAGCTTTATGGTTTCATGGACAAAATAATTTCTGTGGCTGCAATATGACGAGCTAAATAACCAGGGCTGCACATAAGTGGTCCGCAGGTGCGCATTCGCTGTCAAAATAAAAAACGCACACAAGATAAGAAGTTGTAACGCGTGTTTGCGTACATAAGATTTCTGGAGGAGGACAGACATTTGTTTAGAACTCTTAAAGATGTCGAAGAAGCTCCTTTAAGCAATTACTGTGATGTTCCTCCACCTCCAAAGAAATGTCAGGAGTCCGAACCACAAAAGAAGCGTGTATTCTCGGAAAAGTATTTGCAGGAGGTGAGCTGGCTTCAAACAAATGATGCACGCACAGAGATGTGGTGCAGAATGTGCCGTGAAAATCCCACTCTAGCGGACAAAAACAGTGCTTTTTATATGTACGCAAACGCACGTTGCAACTTCTTATCTGGTGCGCATCTTTTATTTTGACAGCGAATGCGCACATGCGGACCACTTATGTGCACCCGTGTAAATAACATAATGTTCTGCCGGGTGTGTTGTTGGTTTTCCCTCGATTTCTGAGTCGACAAGTGCCTTTGTTACTGGGACCAGTCATTTTAAGAAAGGCCCCCATTAGAACCCATGAGAAATGCAAGAAATGCATTATTGCTCAGTCTGCAATATCTTTCCCAGAACAAACACCAATTGCAAATAACATACTAAAAATAAACCTGAAAAAAAATCTGTTTAGAACAGCGTACTATGTTGCAAAGAGTGAACTACCACTGGCACAATTTAGCAGTCTTTGCAAACTTCAAAAAGCAAATGGCCTCGATCTTGGTTCCACTTGCCTCTTACCCGTGACTTCAGTGGAAATTTCAAATTCAGGTACATTTGAATTTGTTTCAGAAATCTGTCAGAACATGCTATATCATGCTTAGCTTGCTAGTTTCCACCTAACTTCTAACTCCATTAAATTTAATAAATTCTGTTTTCATGGATGCCCGGATGTTAAACTTAATTTGAGCACATAAAATCGGTTCAAGGCTAGTAAGCACAACCAGAATTAATACATAAGGCGCATCGGATTATAAGGCGCACTGTGGATTTTTGAGAAAATTAAAGAATGTTAAATGCGCCTTATAGCCCGAATAATACGGTACTTGTCTGACTGCTTTGTGTCAAATGTATAGTTTGGCGGACGGGGGCATTATGGCGTGGGGATGTTTTTCACCCCCTTTACTTCCAGTAAAAGGAACTCCTGATGTTTTGCATACCAAGACATTTTGGACAATTTCATGCTCCCAACTTTGGAACATTTGGGGATGGGTCCTTCCTGTTCCTACATGACTGCATCGCAGTGCACAAAGCAAGGTCGATAAAGAATTAAATGAGCGGTGTGGAAGTGTGAGTGTGGAAGAACTTGACTGATCTGCACAAAAACCTGAACTCAACCCAAAAGAACACCTTTGGGATGAATTAGAGCAGAGACTGTGAGCCAGGCCCTATTGTCCAACATCAGTGTCTGACCTCACAACTTTTATTCTGGAAGAATGGTCAAATAAGCACACTGTAGCATATGTATAGCAGACCCGACCACATATCAGCGGATTTTATTACAGTTGTCGTTTTCACACTCGCTTCTAATAGAGACGCTGGCTTCTGGTAAAAACGAGGCAGGTCCAGACCACATGCTGGCCTCTGGCCCCAGCTGAGCAGCTCTCTCCCTGGTGCCAGCCTCCGGCTCTGGGTGAGCATGCTGTCCCCCGCATGCTGTCCACGCTGTCCATCGGCTCAGGCCGAGAAGATGCATGAGCAGGTGGTGTAAGTGGAGGTTGCTCATCCGCCCTCCTCCGTGGAACAGGAACAGGTGCAGGCGCTCCCACCCAAGAAGTGGGTACGGGTTTAGAGGTAGGCACGAACTCGGCCACCATTTGGGTCAGCACCTCCCCTGGCTGGCCCGGTCGCGGTTCCGCCATGCCCCAATCCTGGGTTTTTCACCACTGTAACATATCAACAGCTTCAACAAGAGTTGAAGCTGTCATAGCTGTAAATGGTGGGCAGATGACATATTAACACCTGTCGATTAAGAATGGGTTTTCACTCAAGTTCATATGGGTGTGAAGACAGATGACAAAATACTTTTGGGAATATAGTATATGTATATAATCGCATTAGATGTTCTTGAGTGCAGTGTTCAGCCAGTGATATAAATACTGACGACAAATGGACACAGCAGCTACTGATACTGCACAGTCCTTTCATAACATGGACCTTTTTTAAAGCATTTTGATGTAATAGAAAATGAAGGAAAGCAAAAACATTTCTTTTCCCTTCCTTCATGAGCTCAGTCCATGCAGGTGTTATGAGGATTAGACTTGGGATAAAACATCAACGTTTTCAGTATAATACTGCAGAAATGTTACTGATAGAAATGGTGTGTAGTTAAAACTTGTTTTCTGAAACTGTTAATTCTTTTACCGTGGCTCTTTCTACTTTAAATCTTTTCTTCCATTGCAATAATTTTCTAAACGTATCCACAAAATGTTACACGCTTCACATGCAACAGCTTGGCACCAACCATGAGCTACTCACCTGTTCAACCTCAGTGTAACTGGGCAAAATCATTAATGACATTTCAGATAATTGCTGTGCGTTTATTTATTCTTATTTAAGAGTAATATGTGTGGTCTGAACACTCAATGACATCGTGGCTGATGTGATCCCATTGAAAGGTGATTTGTAGTTTTTGCCATATGCATAATGTCATTTATAAATCTTTCTTTCTTGAAAGCTCTGTGGGGTCCTGGGGTAGCTTACTGCCATGGACCCTGCCTCCCGAGCCACAGCGAGTGAGGCATGGAATCTTGTATCCATGTTGCCTTACATACATTCTTCCCACTCTAATCTAGTGGTTATTCTGTCATGTTTCAAGTCCACATTAAGAGAAATGCAATGAGATCTTTTAGTAATAGCAAGTTTGTGAATGAAGCTGTTATTATTCCAGGTTTATATGATGTTAATGTTGTTTTGTTTTTGGGGGGTTTTTTTGTTCACACAGAGAGACTGCCAGTCCTGACCGGCTATGGAGTGGTGTTGGCTTCAGACTGGATGACAGGGTCTACGAGGAGGACAGGGTCACAAAGTTTCTGTAGCAGCAGCAGCAGCAGCAGGCTTTTCCTAGATGTACACTGAGCGGGATTGACAGCCTGCACAGCCGACCTCTTTCTCCTCTTCTCTGTTGTGATACACTTTCCCTTCCCTTTCTGCCCTTCTTTTTGCACTTCTCTTTTCCTCTCTCCCACTTCTTGTTTTCCCATATAATTTCCTTTGCCTTCTGTTAGACTCAACGTCATTGAGTTTTAGTGATCTTTGGTCTGCTTTAAGCTGGTTTCACTATGAGCTGGCTGAGCAGGTTAAACCCACGGGCTTCTGGGAGTCGGTCGAGCCGGAGTGCCGCCCCCTCCAGCCCCTGCACTGCAGACCCAGAGACCTGTCTCATGGTGTTTGAAAACCACTGGAGACAGGTGAGCTTAAGACACACACAGTTTTTTTTTCTGTTTCTTTTCTTTCCAAAGCTCTTGTTTCTTGTCTTTCCTTTATACTGGTATGTTTTTACCCCTCCCTTGGACCCATCTCTTGATCAACAATCCATCTTAAAAAAGTAAAAGGCACATGTAACCCATGGAAGAATTACTAAAAGTTGGCAAACGCTGTCTTTAGCTCTCCGCTGCTTGAGCCGTGGCTGCATTGCAGGTCCCCAAATGACCCTGGGGCTGTTTTTGCCCGTCTGCCTCTGGAGAGATATCAAAGTGGAGGCAATGCACCAGTTGCTCTTGCAAGATGGGCTTTGCAGTCAAAAATACCTCTGCTTAACGCTTTACCAGATGACCCTGTGTTACTCACCAATTTGTGTTTATTATCAATTGTATTTAAATTCCAAATAAATATCTTTTAAAAGGACATTTTTTTAAAGTTAGTTAATAACCATTCAAGGTTCAAGGTTCTTTATTTGTCACATGCATAGTTATACAAGTATAACACACGGTGAAATGTAGCCTGACACGCTCCTCGACATGTGTTTATTATCAATTGTATTTAAATTCCAAATAAATATCCTTTAAAAGGACATTTTTTTTAAAGTTAGTTAATAACCATGTTAAGTACTTGAGACGAAACTATATTGGGGATTGAGATGATGATTTTTGCTATATTTGAGCAGCCTTACTTAGTGCAGCTGTGTGTGCTCGTCACAGGAAATGGTGTGATGGACTTTTTGTGGCTTCAAAATAATAAATAATAAAAATTGCTCGATGTTCCTGCCCTGCCCACAGTGGTCTACATTGGTACTGATTTTTTTTTTAAATTAAAAATGTTATCTTGATGTTACAGCATCAATGTTTGAACTAACACACAAAAGTTAATTTTGCACAAAGACTGTCCCGTTTTCACAATTTGAGGCAAATTATTTTTCCTACCCAGAGTGAAAACTCAAGAAAAGCTGAACTCAAAATGAAACAATAATTTTGTCAGTCACAAAACAGAATCAAAGTTAAAAACTGCTTTTTTAAATTTTCTTCAGCGCCTAAGTAACATTCTCTCTCTCACAGGTGAGTTAATTATAATAAATCCAATTTATTGTGACAGTTCAAATTTTCTACTTTTAATCTTTTTTCTTTTTGTGTGATTTGAAGGCTTTGTCTTTGTTCTAGTGAATTATTATGTGTTCACACAATGTGTGAAAGTTCACTGTGTCAGTGTCAGTGAGAGAAGTAAACTAGCTGGCTGATGTCCAGTTACCTACTGAACGTTTATAGGTTACAGAGGTCTGTCACTGCCTGACGGTTGGAACTAATCTGAGGCAACAAAAGATGTCTGAGAAATGATCTATTTTCTGTTTTTCCCAGGGATTGCAGGGCGTGCACACTTTGCAAACCCGCTCCTTCTTTGGCGAGACTTACTAAAGCTATATACAGGTCCGATCCTGTCAGTGAGTTTTTCTTTGAAAGGATCGGTTGTCATAATGGAGAAATGCATTTATAATCCACTGTAGAAGAAGCAGACACCAGCCATAAGTGAATATGTTGCAAATGCATTGCAACAGAGCCACAGAAGTGCACCTAAATGTAGTTCGTGACTTGTTATCCAGTATCTAACATGCAGCTCTTATCTGTTCAACATGGGCCCAGATCTGCAAATTCATTCTTGCTGTAGTCATGCTGACCAATGAAACTTCTGCTTATCATTTTGCTCTCACACACTTTTGACCACATACTCTCACCGTGAAGCGCTATACAAATACAGGCCGTTTTATATCTTGCAAAATAATTGAGTTGTGTTGCACTGTTGTATTTTAACCTGTTTTGAGTATTATCTGCCTGTATGCCTCTTTGTCAGTAATAGCCATGGCTGGAGATATTAAGTTTAAGGGTTGCCTGTCTGTTTGTGCTAATGGACTCGATATCTTGGGAGAGCCTTAAGGGAATTTCTTCCTCTTGGACTAAAGGATGAACCAGTTACATGGAAGCAGAATTGATTGACTTGAGGAAACATTGTAATGTGGAATAACATTCAGTTCTATGTATTGTGTTACATAAACAAATACCCACATGTGCCATTACAGTTCTAGTGTTTGTCCTGGTCCCGTTAGCATGGACCTCAAACACTTCATCACTTAAGCCCACTGGATAAAGCAACAACACACTCCTTACTTCCTTTTCTCAGATATCTTGGGTGTTGGAGCAGCATGAGACTTCATCCTCCAGCGATGACCTTACGGCAGTGAGAAACAACACCGACCAGATGTTATGTTTGCTGGCAGAGGAGCGTCCTGCTGAGAGCTCAGAGAGCGGCACCAGCGTGCCACCTATGGGGCCCATACTGGAGCTTGTGGTCACAGAGAATATCCTGGAGAGGCTGGTTCAGTGGCACCTTCGCCGTGGCTTGGACCCAGACAGCCAGGGTGCACTGCTCAAACTGTTTGAGATGCTTATCGGTCAGTCCCAGCAGCCCCTGCTCCAGCACACAGCCATTCTCCACCCCCTTCTTAGGCTCCTGGGAGCTTGTGCTGACCCAGAACTCGGCTGTCCTTCAGCTCTGGAGAACAGCCTGGTATTGTTGCTTAACCAGGTACATACAAACCTACAGTCTTTTCCAGTGTGTGTATGCAGTCACTATAAACAAAATATATTTCACCGGTAGTAGACATCCCACAAATGACAAACAAGTTTTGTTTTATTTTTTGTGTTAAAATTGAACGGATGTGAGATGACTGAGAATTGAAGGCTGGAAAAATTGGCTGTTGTATTAAAAACCTTAGCTGAGCTGTGGCTCTTCATGAAACCTGACAATTTGAATTATAGTAATTTTTCATTTGCTGTTGGCTTCCTGGAGGGGACTCAGTCAGCATCGTCTGTGACCTATGCCTGTCCTCAGGTGTTGGCGACAGGCCTCAGCGCTCTTTATTCCTCTCTGCCGAGGAAGATAGAAGTTATAGTAGTTTTTCATTTGCTGTTGCTTCTGCTGCATTTACTGTTTGCATGCTGTTTGCTAGGTTTTTTTTTATCTTAAAATGTAATTTGATATCTTTTTCATGAGAATGCCCGGCAGCAATTGATTGAGAAACCAACAAATGAGAGCATCACATGCTGTGGCGTTTTTCTCCCCCAAACAATAAAGTTAGTTGAATATAGTCCAGCTCAGGTTACTGATTGGTCAGAAGACGTACCATTTAATTGCAGGGGTTCCACTTCAAAAGCCAGGTGAATTTGGTGCATAAATAAATAGTAATATAATTGATGGTGTTCCCTGAAATGTTTTTAACTCCCCAGAAAGGGGCACTGACCTGCTCTTTTCATATAAAAGGAAACCTTTGTAGTGATTAGTGATTCATTTCTGTGCTAAAGTTGGAATAATAACTAACCTCCAAAGTAGATTTTTCAACAGCGTTTCATGACTCTTGTTCTTTAATGGGATTCTTTTTCCCTCCATCAGATCTGCGTGTCAATGGCCCGACAGCCGGTGGTTCTAGAGATGTTGTTCCGGGCTGCACCAGCCCAGCAGGGCTCAACCAACCTGCTGATCTTTTCCCTGCTTGTGCCATTCATCCACCGAGATGGAGCCATTGGACAGCAGGCGCGAGATGCACTACTGCTGGTTATGGCGGCGTCAGCCAGTCACAAGGCTGTTGCACGATACATCGCTGAGAACTCCTACTTTTGTCCGGTGAGTGAGGAGCTTTTGAGTCACTCTTCATTCTCTCTTTTTTCAGACAGTTTTCCCATAATGATGCTCATTTGGCTTGTGATTGATAGAAGTATGGTCAAAGCCAGACTCAAATTAAAACCTCTGAGTCTAAAAACCGTATAGTATATGGTGAATATGACCTATTCTTTATTGATGTGATGGTTAAGGACAGATTATAAGAGTTGGATCTTGACTTAGTTTCCCTCACTGCTTCTAAGAAAGAGAGGTGTGTGTGTGTGCGCGCGCGCAGGCTGTCTAATTCTGATGCATTAGTGATGGTGTGCGATAATGGAAGGAGAAGGAGATGACTATGCACTCTGACAGACCGTTCATCCTTATCTACATCCTATCAACTGTGTCTCAACTCGAGGCTTCCTATTTAAAAAAACCCAGAAACTCACCCAACATCACATGTTTGCAGTTTTTAGGAGAAACTTTATTGTTTAGTGATAAAGAAGACAGCTTAAGAAAACTTGTGTGAAATGCAGTTTCCTTACTGATGCAGTTCTCCCCCAGTGAGTTTAGAAGCACTCTTTAGTAATAACTGTTTGTTCTTTAAGCAGGAGACCTAAAAGAAAGATGAAAACAAAGGAAGGATATTTTATCATTTTTGAACTGTGATTTCTTTTTTCTGTTTGGAAACACAATCATAACTTGAAGGTGGAAAGTTTATTCCGCTTTGAAGTAAAACCTGTCTGCCTTGTTTTTGTCATTTCTTTTAGCTGCCACTAGATGTAATTAAAGAGCCATGTTATACTTAATGCAGTCTGAGGTGCATATTTAAAGCTATTAGTTTAATTTGCTTAACAGTTCTGCAATGGGAACATGTGTCTGCATACATTTGAATGTATGAACAAGAATTGGTCAGGATTTTAACTGAATCTGGTCCCAGAGCAATGTTTAAGCTTTCATACTGCATTATAAGAGCGAGTCTTGCGTGATGTCTGCATACAGCACTGTGGTCAGTAGTCTACCCCCGCCCCCCTCCCTCTCAGGTCTCTATACTCTGGTGCTAACTCAGCTATTTTCTGCTCATCTTCCTTCCAGCAGCTTCAGTCTGACCTAGTTACAGCTGAAAGATCCAGTGGAGGTGGCGTTAATGACCAATTGCTCCTCTCTGTCCGAGTCTGGCTATTTCCTGTCTGTGCATACTCACACGTATCATAATCAGCTTTGCTTTGACAGTTTTGGATCTAGTTCAACATTCTTAGACAACAGGAACAATTGTAGTCTTTCTCACGTTGTAAGCAGAGTACAGAGAACATCCCGTCTTTGCTCCCTGTCCCTCGGTGTCCGTGCACAGCTCTTTTTGAGGAAGTTTGCATCTGTTTTGTCAGCCTAACGGGTTCAGGTTTCTCCATCCTATATGTGCACGGCAGCAGCAATAAATATTGGATTTTCATAAAAGTCATCAGCTGTTATTAAAAGGGCTTTGACGGGCTTTGAGCTAGACTGTGAATCCACTGTGTCTGCATGTGCTGGGAAGGCACTCGTTTAAACCTTTTTTTGGTAACAACAGTAGGACTCAGAGTATGGACCATCATGCTGCAATTATTTGAATTATGATGAAAATATTTAAAAACTGTTCATTTAAGCAGTTGAGATTTGCAGCAGACAGTAATAATAGCCGTTAGTCAGCACAGTCTTAATGGAAGGGGTTGGATGGGCTGTGACTTGGTGATATTTGTATGAAAATGCTGCTTATTTTCTCCATCATTAATTTGGTGTAGTTTGTAGCTCTTGTTTGTTACTTCCAAAAGTCAGAACTTTAAAAATAGACTCCTATTTGAGAGGTGCCACCTGCTGACTTCCTAGAGGTGACTCAGTCAGCAACGTCTGTGACCTCTCTGCCTCTCCTCAGGTGTTGGCGACAGGCCTCAGCGCTCTTTATTCCTCTCTGCCGAGGAAGATAGAAGTTCGAGGAGATGACTGGCATGCCCTTCGGCGGGAGGACTGGATGGGCGTGTCGTCGCTCGTGCTCTTCATGAACTCGCTCGAGTTCTGCAACGCCGTGGTGCAGGTCGCCCATCCCCTGGTCCGCTCACAGCTTTTGGATTACCTTCACAACGGCTTCCTTGTACCTGTCATCGGCCCCGCCCTGCATAAGGTAGCAAAGGGGACTGTTTTTGTTAGAAAGGCTGCAGTTTCTTTAACAGCCGAGTTGGGGAGAGGGGGTGAACAAATTCCCTTAATGTTGCTTTTAACTGTGCACACATAACTATTATCATATTGCATATTTTTGGCAGTTTTGAGACACCTTTAATTGTGTGTGTTTGCAGTCATCGGTGGATGAGATGATCGCCAGCACAGCCTACCTTGATCTTTTTCTGCGCAGTATAACGGAAACTTCCCTCCTCAAAACTTTCCTGCGCTTCATCCTGCTGCATCGCCATGACAATGACACCATCCTGGACACGCTGCTCACGCGCATTAGCAGCAATTCAAGGGTCCGTATATATGTGTGTGTGTGTGTGCGTGCGTGCGTGCGTGCGTGCATATTTGTAAAGGAGCCCTGAGGCCCTCATTTGAACTCGACTGAGTGGGTGGTGAGTGGGTTTAAAGCAGAAACTGAGTAGGATACAGAATAAACATGGAAACTGAATCTCTTCATGTCTGCTGCAACAATTGAGGATTGTGTTACCAGTTATTTATAAGTGGTTAAATAAGCCTCAGCAAAATGTTTCAACATTATCTTAAATTCCCTCCAAATGCATAAATATCAGTCTTTTTGGAACAGCAGTGGTGTTAGGAAAAAAAATCTATTAATTCACCTGAAGTATGACGGAAAAAAGAGAAACGATGGTTACCCCCAAATAGGAGTTAAAAAGGAATAGCGTTAAAACATCAGCACTGCTGACTAAAATTACTGGTGTTCACTGCTAAGAAAATAGTAAATTTTGCTGTTATAGAATTTTATTGGAGTCTAACCAATATTAGCTTCCAACATATGGTATCAAAATGTACATTTCAACCACGTTATGAGTGTTGATGTTGCGTAGTGTGTTTACCAAAGGGACACAAATACCAACTTTTCCAAGTGGAGCAAAAAAGCGTAGAAAGGTAATCCAAAAAAACAGAAAACAAACAATATCAACCGATATATCACATTTTTAAATTGCCAAAAATTGGCATTTAGCTTAAAAATCCTATATCGTTTGGGTTCTGAAATTTATTCTGAGGGTTTTTTTGGAGGGGGGGAATTCAAAAAAATATTTTTTATGAATCATCACAGTGTCCTACGTATGTGTATGTCCTCCTCAGAAAATGGTTGTTTTATAACCTGTTTCTTTCTGCTTGTTTTGCAGCTCTGCATGGTATCGTTAAGCCTCTTCAGGACTCTCCTGTCCTTGAATTGTGAAGACGTCATGCTACAGCTTGTACTCAGGTTTGTGTGCGCTTCAGAGCATTTTGCCAAATGTTATACTTCCAAAGGGCTTCTTCACACATCTAGTCATTTAGATTAAGTAAAGGTTATGACGCAAAGTCACCATCTGTCAGCAGTTACCACGAGACGATACAGACAAGGTTATTTCTGCCCATTTTTACAAAAATTTTATGAACTACCAATGGCTGTTTCTCCCATTTCCCATACTACTGTCAGAAGCTGCCAGTGACCCCCCACCCCACCCGTTAACACATTACCTGCAGGCTGTGATTAGGGCATACTGTCTGTGTTTTAAGGTGATTTGTCACAGCAAGATAAATATGGCAAATATTAAGAATGGAAATGTAGAATTAAAAATGACAACACAGTTTAAGCTTCCTGAATAGTAACCTATATCCTGTGCATGTGGATTAACTTATCTAAAATTACTGAAGTTGCTTCTGTGTGTTCTCTCGCTCTCAGGTATCTCCTGCCATGTACTCACGTAATGCTGAGTCAGCGTCGTGCTATCAGGGAGACTGACTTATACGGAAAGTCAGCGGACAAGTTCCTGTCATTAATCCCAGAGTGCTGCCGGTTCAACGCAGCTGCCTCCTCTGAGAGAGATGAGGAAAATCCATTTTGGGGCAAAGGTGAGCTACACACTTGTGGAAAGTGAGCAGTTGACACTAATAGTTGTGGTTGTAAATGATATGATCTGCACTTGAAATACAATCTTTTACTGAGTGGAATACACTGTACACAATAGTTGTGCAGCTACTCTAGTCACTTACTTTACTTAAGACCTTTAGTTGTAGAGCCAGAGTGAATTTGCATGGAAAACTCTTGGTGTTAGGAATGTTATTGTATGTAAGTTGATTGTTTGCATACAGTGTCTGTATTAATTGGGATAGCAGATCCTGGCTCTACTCATGGTTTTCCTGTTTGCCCGTATATTGTCATCCTGCAGTACTGAATAGTCCCAGCACAGAATCTCCCGCCCCACCCAGACCCAGCACTCCATCCCGCCTGTCCTTCTTCATGAGACAGCAGAGCAGTGGAGGTGGATCAGGAGGTGGAGGTGCTCCTACCTCCTCTAGCATGGATCCACTGCAGTCCAGTTCTTCAAGCTCCCACCAGATGTCTCCTGACAGCCCGATGCACCATCAGCAGACCCACACAGATTGTCTGGACTGGGATTCAGGTTATCTGGAGTATCTTAAGGACGCTCGGAGGAGCATTGAGTTTTGCTCTTGGGCTTGTCGTGACTGGTCGGCACCATATGATGGCGAAAACCCATCCCCAAACACAGCCCCGCCACCCCCACTTCCCCCTACCTCCAATGTCCCAATGACTATGTTCCCTGAGCACTTCTCTTTCCAGCAGGGAGGAAGTCATAACTCTTCTCCCGGTCAGCAAAGGGCGGCCATTGTGGCAGCAGCGCGGTCTGAATGGAGTAGCTCTGAGCGGGACAGCGGAGAGTGGGATGTTACGATTGGCAAAAACAGCTGCATCAGCCTAACGCCTCGCTCCAAGAAACGCAGCCTTCAGAGAGAGGAGCTGCCTCCCAAGCCTGTACCTCCTCTTGTACCTTCTTCGTCTTCAGCAACCGCTTTATCCACTTCTCATCCCATCTCCTCCCCAGCTCCTCACATCCCCTCATCTGCCATCACTGTTAGCTACCAGGCTATGTATAATGGAACAATGGTGCAGGGAGACGGGTGCTCAGACAGTCGTGATAGAGGACTGGAGGTGAAGAAAGTGAAGAGGGACTTGGATGATCAGCAGTATTTGGATGAAAACGCCAACCAAAATGGTTCCCTTGTTAACTGCCCCTCGCAAAGCTGCACTGCTCTCCCAAAGTCTATTTTTAGCAACAGTGACATCAGTGATGCACAATCTCTTTGTCCTAGCAAGATTTTTACTCAGACCTCCATTAACCAGTCAGCATCTGATACCAAACTGCTGTCAAGTGAAACCTTAAACCCACATGATGCATCCTCAGATCTTCCAGAAGCCAGTCAGCAGTCTGTAGAGAGTCTTATTGAGGAGCTGCTGGAGCAGGCGCCGGGAGACCCACAGCTGCCTGGCGATGCCAACGGTCAGGGCATTAGCATTGAGGCGTTCACACAGGAGCTGAGAGAACTGGAGGACCGGGTGAAAGAGCGCTGCAAAGCAGCCTGTCAGCTGGAGGAAATCGCCAGAGAGAGTCTGTCCACTGAGCGCCAGGAAGAAGAACAGCAGCTGTCATCAGCACTGGAGGGGAAGCTGACAGGTGACGTGAAGGCAGACGGGTCTGCGGTGGGCATCTGTAGTCCTGCCAGACCACTGAACCAACCTGTGTCCCAGCCATACACAGGTGAGACTCACGGATTTCTTTCACTGTTGCATCAGTTTGTGGATACGTCTATTGCTGTAATCATATTTTCATGCTCACACTGCTGTATCAAATAAGTGGTTGGATGTGTAACAGGAATTGTATCACTGAGCTCTTGCTTTTGATAATTGCTAACAGCACAGCTGTTGAAGTTATGTGGTTGATGGTGTAATTACCACCTCAAACTTAGGAACTCTTCTTGACTATATTTTAAGGATGGTGAAAGGATTTGCAACCATATAATCACAAGCAGTTAAAACCCACTTCTGAGAAGCAGTTACTCTTTCCTGCTGACAAGAGTTGAGCATTCTATCTTTCTATTCAATGATCCACCGCTCTTCCTCCGTGCAGGTCCATTCATGACAGTTCTGTTTGCCAAGCTGGAGAACATGCTCCAAAACTCGTTATACGTCAACATCCTGCTCACTGGCATTGTGGCCCAGCTGGCCTGCTATCCTCAGCCCCTCCTACGCTCCTTCCTGCTCAACACCAACATGGTCTTCCAGCCCAGTGTCAAGTCCCTAATCCAGGTACGCTGCACTATGCAGAAGTTGTTTATAATGGTTTTTGGTGCCCTCTTTCCCCTTGTTCTGAAAATAGTAGAGAAAGCGAATAGTTTCTTTTTGTCTTTGAAAGGATTACAGTTTTTGGGTGTCTGCCTTTAGGCATAGTTGTCCACTTCCAGCCCACCTTACTTCTGTGCACGCTCTGGTTCCAAAAGCATCAGGCCCACAGTGATATTTGCATCCAGTTTCTTTCCACATTCATTTTCTTTATTTTCAGATACTTGAATTCACTGCTGCAGTGGACATAAAAAAAATACAATAAATGAATAAATATAACTGCAGTTTCAGTCGAGTGATCCATCCACACCCAGCGAGCGTGGGTGTGGATGGATGAACTTAACAATTTAACTGTTAAGTTAAATTGTTAAGTTCATGTGAATTTTAGTCTTGAGGGATGACAAGCCTGCGAGAGGGGTTAACAACACCAAGCAAAGGTGATCAAAAAGTTTAAAAGTTTGTTTCCACAACTCTCCTCAGGTTTTAGGTTCTGTGAAGAACCGCATCGAGGCATTTGCCGCATCTCACGAGGACTTTCCTGCCATGCTGAGGAAAGCCCAGCAGTACTTGGTGGCCCGAAGCAAAGTGGACTGGAGCGACTCGCCGGCAGCGGTTCCTACTTTGCGCCGCTCTGATTCCCTTGGTGAGTATAGAAATAGGAAGAGCTACATTTACACATACAGGCGTGGCTTTGATGACTTTGGTCATAAATTTAGTGAGAAGTGTTAATCAAAGATAATTTACCAAAATCCAATTAACAAAGACGTTTAAAAATATTTTAAACACACTACGAAATTCCAATAAAAGTACATTTGAATTGGAAAACTTTAGGATAAATTAAAAAAAAAGACAAAACTGTTAGAAAGCAGAAGCAATTTATTGGTGCCGTAACATCTTATCATTAGTACTTTGTAAAAAAACAAACATACCTAACAGATTTGCTTCAGGTTTAGAGGTTTTTGAGGGTTTTTTGTTTTTTGCTGTGCAGTGATTTGTTACCAAACTCCACATTAAAGGAAATAATCAGAACTATAGGCCCACTTGGTGACTTCTTTTCTATCTTTGAAAACGCCGGGGAATCGCAGAGATGTCAGAGCAGTCTCGCATCACAGTTTTATTTCCCTGTTGTGAAACCGTGCCCTTCTCTTCCAGTGAAGAGTCGAAAGCCATCTCTCGGAGACCTGATTCTTCGTCACACAAACAGTCCAACACGGGCTCGGCACGCCGCTCAGCTCGCCCTCGCACACGTACGGGATGGCGGCCAATCACTGCACAGCGCTCTGTTCCGGGGCAGCGGAGGTGCGTCTGGCATTGAGAAGCAAGCTGAAGCGCTGCGAGTAAAGAACGCCGTCTACTGCGCCGTTATCTTCTGCGAGTTCCTCAAGGAGCTGGCTGCCCTCACGCAGGAGCACGCCGTCTCTTTGCCCTTCCCGCACAGCCAGGAAGCAGAGGAGTAGAAGGTAAACTCAGACTCCTCAAACTTAGCTTCACATCTGTTGATTTAGGCTGTACACAAAGAAGAGATTGATATAGGATTCTCCCATCAGGACACATGTGAGACTTTTCTGTCACTGAAATGGATCGTCTGCAACGAAGCAGACAAAAGAGGAAAACTGGGATTTTTTTATTACTAAAATTATTATAGGATACCTATAGGACTGGAATCATTTTCCTCATCTGTACACTTATGATATTGTGCATATCGTGTATTATATTCACATCCTGTACACAGAAAATCTCGGTAAATACTTGAGATTCGGGAGCTTGTATATACACATGCCATTTCATGGTATAATACGACACAGTAAAGCCACAGATTAAAGAAGTAGGTGCACATATTGGTGCTAGTCAATACTTGTTATCTTTTGTTTTGAAAGGGTGCTTTCAGGCTGGCACAAAGAAGGTTTCCTCTTCAACAACAACAGAAAAAAACACCAAAAATTGTTTGGCAGGAAAAGATTGAAAGCGTGTGCGAGTCAGCCACTTACAAAGTAATCCCATCAGTTTGGTCATCTCTGTGCAGCTGGCTCATGTTTGCTTTCATCAGAGCTTTTGTCAAGGACGGACTAAGAGAAAAAGTTCACTTTAAAAAACAGAAGCATTCCCAAAAAACGTGGGAGCTCTTTTAGGTTTATTTTAAAAAGGCTGCACTAAATGCTAGTCATCACTGAATGAGATGAAAACTGGAAAAACCTCCGTGTGGGAGAGCGCCACTTTGTCTCCTGTGAATCAGCACGACTACCATAATTGTACTGAGAAACTTGGGTAATTATTGCCTTTTTCTTTTAACGTTTTAAACATTTGTCTTCTGAATTTGCACCATTTTATAGACATATCAGCAACATGTGGGAGCAGATGTGTCTGCCATTGTGTATGAGAGTTTATTTGAATGAATCACTCCTTTCCAAAAAGGTGACGCCAACTGTTCAGGCCATTAGCTAACCATTCACTGTTCGCCATTTAAAAAAAATAAAATAAAAAAATTAAGCGGAGGAATCACGAAGACGGCAAGAGGATCATGGCCACTGGGGAAAAAAGTGGGCACATCTTTTTTTTCTTCTTCTTATTTTCCAGAATTCAGACTTTTTCATCAGAATTACTTTTTTCCCATAATTCTGACTTTAATCTCAGAATTCTGAGAAAAAAGTCCGAATCCTGACATTAAAGTCAAAGAAATTTTTTTTCTCAGAATTCTGGAAAAGAAGAAAAAAAAAAAGATGTGCCCACTTTTTGTACCCCAGTGACCCTGATCCTCTTCCGTACTTGTACGTGTCGCATCCTTTGTGTGTCATTCAGTGTTTTTGAAAGACCCGAAATTCTGCACGATTTTTAATTTTTTTTTAATTCCACCTGTGCGTTGGCATTATTTCCCTTATTTTGAATTTGATGACCCAGAATCTCATGAGGCGTTCATGACTTTTCTTGAAAAAGATTTTGTTTTCTTGGTGAGACAGGCCAAACCGAACACACAGCACATCTGGGAAAATAATATGCTGCTACTTTTTTTTTTTTTTTTTGAAACACTAACACCCATTTTAATGGTGAAATAGCTACTCTATCTTTTTATTTCATTGGGTACCAAGTATAAATGTGCACGTGGAGGTGCTGATGCAAGTTGTGATCAGCTTTTCTTTAATTTATTGTGTTTTGAGGTTGAATGAAGTTGCAGCCACACAGTGTTAAAAGCTTTTGCCAAGACTTGATATTCACTGTTTTCCTTTGTAATGTGTTGCTAATTTGTTTTTGGGGTTTTTTTTGTTTTGTTTTTTTATAAAATGGTAAGTAGTCATTTTACAGCTCTGTAATATCTGTAGCAGTTTTCTGTAATGCTACCAGAAACTGTAAAAACTGTAAAAATGTGCATTATTCTTAGGAGTGCTTTGTTAAATCATCTACCTGTGACCCAGCTTTCCAAGTAACATATTTGCACATACTAGCCATTCTCTCTCAACTCTTAGCAGTAGAGAAACTGCCTCCCACCCTGCAAAACGTCTAACATTTCTTTCCCATTACACCACTTTCACTTTCTGCAACAAGCTGAGACGTCCTCAGCTCGTCGAAGCCATAGCCGCGTTCGTCGTGCTCGTACGTGTGGGATTTCGTCCCGGCTGTGAGTCACTTTTCTACAGAATTTCTTAGATGCATTTCGTAATGACCCATAGTTTGTTTCTGGTTTTTTATTAATAGGTAAATAGTTTCTGCATGTCAGATAAGGCGAGGTTTTATGATAAACTAACAGTTAAGTAGTGTTTGGTTTGTGCAATAGTACTGAGCTTAAATTAGCTTCCATGCAGTAGGGTTTAGTGGTTAGTGAGTCGTGCACCTGCAGAGCTCGGCGATGACAGCGAGGTTTCACGCTGAACGTTTGCTCTGGGTAGAGAAATCTCTCTTGTACTTTACACACTGCCATCCGTCCATCCGCGTATCACCCAGTCTGCTGTACATGTGTGATCTGAAGAGCGAGGGAGAGGAAACAAAAAAACGAGAACAGAGGGCCTCATTCCTCATCAGGTTCCATGTCTTTTACACTCAAGATTGTGTTTTCTAACAAAACTATTTTTTACAAACAGCTCTGATAAAGATTGATGGTACTTGCTCTGTTTCTTAATGTCACTTCCAGTCACAGTTACAGTCATTAGTGTTCATGGTACACCAAAGACAATCGCTGATACCTGAAACTCACAATGTCTGTTTAAGCAATCGTAGACAGTTTGATGGTACACGGTCTGAACACTGTAATGAACCTTATCCACGAATCGCGCTTCTTTAGTCAACGTTTCACGCCCACAAAACGGTGCCAGTTAGTTTTTGTTTTTTAATAATTTTAAATTTTTAAGGCTCAGCCTAATTAACGAAAAGGGAGCTTCTCAGTAAGAACGTGGCATTAATAAATCTGTCTAATTAGGGATTGCAGTCTGTACTCGCGGTTAATCTTTTACTTTTATTTGATCTTTTTTTAGTTCATTTGCAAGTATACAAAAACCAATGTGATGAAGTTTGTAATGTGGCGTTTTTATAAGGGGATTGTTTCCTACCAGGGCCTTTGACGTCTTCCTTGAAAGACTGTAAGCAGAAGTTTATTTAGAGCAGTGATTATATGTAAAAACACACGTTGCACACAGGTAAATGAAAGGGAGTCTGGCAAATAGAATCAAGGCTTCATGGTGACTGTGATGGATTTACTTAGCTTTATGGAAGTTGCTTTTCATACTCTGCTGGTTTTTAAAGAAAAAAATATATATACATGAGCACTCCAATCGTTCACATAACAGGGGTCATGGACGGGGGCACAGGCCTTTTTTTCCCTCTTATTCTTTTTCATTTTGGGAAATTGATTTTGACGCTTTCTGCTTTCAGCAGCTACCACGGCTGGATGCACAAGATGTTTTTGTTCCTCTAGTGGCCACGGAGTAATCATGCTGTAACAAATCTGAAAAAAAAAGTTCCTGCTTAATTTGTTTAGCACAATGAACGATGGCCTTCCAAAACGTGTGAGCTCTTTATGAACGAGCATCTCAGCCAGTGTGAGCTGCAGCGTCTCAGCTCTGCTCAGACTCCAAACCTGCTTCCTTGGCCTGCTATTGTTGTTTTCAGACTCTGTTAACTGACAAATAAAAAAAGGAGTTGTTGTAAACCCAAAGCTAAGCTCCGGAAGATTATGTTTGGCAGTTTTTGTTTGTTTTTACTTTTTTTTTCTGCTGTGTTTTAAACATTTTCTTGAACACTAAAATTGATCTGACAATTAAGTAAAAAAATAACTTTTAAAATAAATTTCACTAAAATTGTTCTTTGAAAATTTTCCTGTGTTTTTGCTTAATTTTGAGCGTGTAATGTCTTTTGGGGGGTTTTTTGTTTGTTTTTTTTGTGAACGCAAACAGCAATCCAAAATGTTGAACTGCCACTCCTGTTTTTACATTGCGAGCTGCAGCGCCACCTGGAGAAAGTGGAGGGGTGGGACAGTAAACATCTCAAGGACTCATTTGCCGCTTCAAAATGTCCAATCTGTGCCATGTTTGATATTGATATCTTTTGTTATGATCTTGTTTCTTTCAAAGGCTTTGACCTTTCACCTCTGACATTTTCCCCTCTGTGATCTATGCAAAACATGCTCTGGTGTCTCTGGGTTGAAGCTGAGAGATGGTATGGATTGATTTTGATGTGTAAATACTGTTTATATATATATATATATTTAAATATATATATAAACAAAAAAAAACAACGATAAGCAAGTGGGAGACGAATGTGAAATGATTAACGCTACAGAATGAAAATCATCTGAAAATCATGTCATGATGAATGTTGTCAGAAATATTTTTCTATATTTTGAAATCATTAGAGAAAAAGAGGACACAACTTGCAAAGTGGGAAAAGCTGTCAGAAGAACACTACAAAGGGAATGTTTTTATTAATTTATAAATTTTTTTGCCTAGCAATACAACACTTGTCCTGGTGTCTTTTCTTTGGGTTTCTTTGAACGTCTTGGAAAAGGGACTCCAGTAGAGGAGATTTTCAGTTTAAAAATATCCTCGTTTTCTCATACTCCTGTTGAATCACATAAGATGTTGGCTCGTGCTCCAGAAGAGGCAGCACCCAGTACTTGTGGGCACCAGCTCATCTTTCTGCTTGAGTAATGAGTTCAAAAACTATAAACATACAAAGTAACATCACTTCCTGTCCTTTTAAAATCCATCCGTACTTGTGGAAACATGCAGATGAATTCATGGGCATACTGTGCCTGAGACAACCCCTTCAAATAAAAATTGTGTGAGATGAGACATTCATGTCATAAAAGTAGAATGAAATATCAGAGTGTTAAATCTGATGCCTTGGTATGGCACTCTACTCTGCAAAAGTCTCAAGCCACCCCTCTTTTCTTTATCTTTTGTAAGGGAAATGGGGGCAACGATTTATTGAAACGTACATATAGTAGATGAGGAAAAACCCATTTGTACAATTCTTTTTCTTTCTTTTTTCTCAGGTATGTTTTTACTGCACTGGCAGTGTGTTTGGGATCATGCTGAAAATGATGCTATTTGGAAAGCTCTTAACATTGGATCAAAATCAGTACTGTTCTGTGTTTATAATTCATCTATTCTGACAAGATCTCCAACACCACTGGCTCAGATGGAGCCCCAAACCAATGACCGAGCCTCCAGTGTGTTTTAGACAGCTGCAGGAACTCACTGTCTGCCGACCTCCTGACCTCCTCTGTACATATTGATGACAATTTAAACGAAAGATTTGACACTGAGATTCATCGCTCCTCCAAACCCGATGAATGCTTAGTAAGTGGATCAACTGAAGGGCCAGATGTAGCTCTTAGGTCCTATGTTAGGTTTTTACCATTTATTTTTTTTATGTGCCCCCCAATTTACTGTTCATCTGCAGATAGTTTCCAGGCTTGACACGTCTTCTTTTGACCCCCACATGCTCTGTTTTCTTACTTTTTTTTTTTAAGGACACACTGCACACTATGGCAAGATTTCCCAATTTTTTTTATCTAGTAGCTCTTTGGAAAGGACCATGTTGATTCAAAATACTAATTAATGGCTGTCAAACTGTGTTTCTGGCATTTTTATTTTTTTATTATTTGTAAAAATGGGAACAAGTGATGTTTTGTGACAAGCTGCCAGGAAAAAATTGCCTAAAGTAAAGATACAATTTTAAAATTGGTTCATTGTCTGTTATGAGAAGACACAGCAGTGGTTCATCCCTTGAGTTAAGCGTGAATGAATCATAGGTCAGTGACTTTATAATAAAAAAACAAACACAAAGAAAAAAAAAAAGCGCTCCTCTGAAAATTGTCAGGTACGAGTTTGGTGTGAACATAAAAACTGCAACAAACGCTGACTTCTTTGGAAGCACAATATAAAGAACTGAAGGGTGACTCAAGACTTTTGCACAGTATTGTAATTTGGTGAAAGGAGGAGGCAGCTACTAGAAGCCCCCCGCAGCTTAACAAAAAATGTGATGGAAACTTTTGTTTTTCAGGCTGACTCACAGTAATTATTTGCCTAAAATGGCCATTTTGCTCACTGCATTTCCTGTTCATCTGTGTGAATGTTCTTAGAACATTGGTTCTAATTGTCCTTTTTTTGCTCATCCAATGTTCCAGTAACCAGTAACACCAACACTCATTTTTTCATGAGGAAAAACTACATAAGTTAAAAATTAGCTAAAGTAAGTAACTATTTGGCATTTCCTTAAAATTCTGTCGGGATACATTGAGACCGAGCCACCTAATGACTAGCAGGCATTTCCACACTGCACAAATACTGTTTATTTTTTAACTATATGTTTTAAGATTGGATATCTCTGTGTCAAAGTCTTACCTGCTCTGTTGGTAGAGTTTAGAGCTCTGTTGAGTTATTATAAATGATTTGAGATAGACTTTTAACAAGTTCTAACAATAATGTTTTTATTACACAAGTATAAAATATGGGATAGAAATGAAGAAAAGCATTCTGTGTTCCTGCTTTAATCTAAGGATGTTTTGCTTTTCTCTCTTTGTAAAATTTAGATATATTGGATTTGCCCTTCTGGTCAGACAAAATGAGCATTCTGCAGTCGTCACTATATAAATGTACCACGCAGCCCTAACTTTGAAGAATTTATATCTGAATTTCTTGAATAACTAAAGTAAAAATGTGAATTTCAGGAATGTGAGTTGAATTTGAATTAACTTGAATAACTGTATGTAACACTGTTACCTCACAGTAAGGTGGTTTCTGGTTTGAACCTCCTGGTCATGTTCTTCCTGTGCCCATGTGGACAACTCCGGGTAATCGGGCTTCCTCCCACAGTCCAAAGACATGACTGTCGGGTTAACTGGTGTGTATGTAGAGATGTGTTTCACTGTGTTGTCCCTGTGCTAGGTTAGCCTTCTTCCACTGGTCAGAAAAGACATTTGGAGACATTACAGCACAGTGTTTGAACTTGATTGATCAACTAATAATAATATTTGTCCCCAATCACCACAGAGAATATAAATGGCTCATGTTTCGGGGGGTGGGGACTCACTGACCCTAGAAATCAATGTTTCATGTAGATAAGTAAATCTCTAGCATTAACGATAGCTTGAAAACTTCCATGGGTTTTCATCATAAAGCTACATGACATAAATATGTGGTGGTCCCTGAAGCAACGTACTGTGTGGTTTGAGTTAATAGATTTACTCTGACTCGCTGCATTTTCTAAAACACACATCTTCGGTTCAAGTAAAGTATAAAGTACACAGTCTGAACACCAAGACAAATGTCAAATGTGGATCCACACAATTTGAAGTCTGCACAAAGAGGGAACTGGAGTTGGCTTGGCTGTGTCCTAGCAACAGCAAACAAGAGGGAAAATGGCACAGAGGGAGGGCTGGAGGCTGATTGTATGAGGAGTACAGGGATGTAGTAGAGAAGAGTGGAGCGGTGGAGCAGAGCCGGTACCTGACTACAGGTAAGACATTACAGGGTTTGATGTTTTTTGTTTTCTTCCCCTACAGATGTATTTCATATACCTATTTTCTAGTACAATTTCAATGTTTTGTTAGTTTATTTTATTTGAAAGTGTGGGTGTTAATTTACATTATTCACTTTTTTGACATATCATGAATCCTTTGATTACATGTAAAGTTCAGTTTTTAATTTTGTTTTTATGTTTTTGTTATTTTAATAATACTACAAGGTTTCCTATTGACTTTTCCTTACATGGCCTGACATTCAAAACATGAGCAACTGGACTCCCTCATCTATAATTTACTTTGGTAATGTGAGCACAACCTTTGGCGACTTGTGCCAGTCCTACCAGAGATGGGACTACCACAGTTCCTCCTGTCACTTATCCCCAACATAGATAAAGTTACTGGCAATGATGGTGGAAACATTCATTGCTTGTTTTTGAAGGACTATGTCCAGGTTAAAGTTTGGGTTCAGTGATTCGTTTTGCTCCTTACAATGTTTTGAAGTATTAAAGTAACAAATTGTAAGTGCTGTGGATTTCATTATTTTTAATTGTTAATATTAAAAAAATGTAAACTGCAGACAGCAGACTTGTTACTGAAATACTTAATTCGTACAGCTGATACAAATGCCACAGGCTAATACAAAAAGTAAAATAAATGCAGTCAGCAATAAATATATTTCTCTCGACTGTTTTTTTTTTATGGATCTGTGTTGGTTGAATACCCCAAATCCTTTTCTCTACATACCCAAGCAAAAGCATAACCATAGAGCTTGCTTTACTTATGATTTGTGTACAACTTTTGGGAGCTCGGCTTCAGTTTAGGTAAAAGGAAGTTATAGGACGTTAGATTGCCCATAACTAGTAAAGACGAGCTTCATTCACTTCTATGACCTTTGCTATGGTAATTAATTTTTCCCACCAATGTTAAACTACTACCTGCCCACAAATGAAGCATTTGGTTAGAGTAACTGTAGTTCTCTGGAAATATTACCCGGTACTCAATTGCTCTCACCAAGAGGCACTTCCCATAGTGAGATATGGAGTGAGGTTTGAAATAAAACTGCACGTAACTCACATTAAGTAGGGTATCACGGTGCTCGTATCAAGCTAAAGCTAGTTTCCTAGCTGTAGCTAAAAACACTTTGTATTTATTTTGTACTGAATCGAATTTAGGTGACTTCTGAAGTATTATCATAATTGAACATTTGACATATTGTGGGTAATGCAATAAACTACTTTCAATTCTTTTCCTTATTTTCAATAATATACATGATCTCACTGAACAGAACATGCAGTATAGCACAGTAATTTACTTTTACTGTAACATCAAATAGGCCTAAAAACAACAGTCACTGTCTATTTCATGCTTCATAAGCTTAAAGTCAAAAGTACACTTCAAAAACTTTTGAGGAGAAAGTTTGAAGTAGAATATCTTGTTGAAGCTACTTGTTGAATTGTGACTGTTGTTAAGTATCTCAAGTTGTTTCCACATCTGACAGAAAGGTGGGATATAAATTTCTTTATGTTTACCCTGCATAAATGCTTCTGTTGATTTTGTGATGGCTCACCGTGGTTATCACAATACAGCACACAGAGGATCGACATCTTTCACTGCTGCTTCTCTACATCGCTTTGTACAGCTCATGAATAAAATATCAAAGCAAGATCAATTCGCAGGGACTGGGGAGTTGAGAAGTACTGTTGTGTTGACACACTGGCTGTCTCCTTACCTCCCACTCTCGCCCTCACTCTGGATGCTTCTGGCTGTCTGCTGCTATTTGAAATGCTAATAGATTTCTCGACACTGAACTCAAAACTTTTCTTCCTTGCCTTAGCTAGTTCTTTCTACCCACAGCCTCAGCTCTCTTATGGCCTCTCTTCATATCTGTATCACCTTTCCATAAGCAGCTGTTTACTCAGAAGCACTTCACAAGCAAGCATGCACCTCTGCCAGACTAAATTGGTGTGTGACTGATTCATGATTTT